CTTTCTCTCTCTCTCTCTCTCTCTCTCTTTCTCTCCCTTTATGTATGTAAACACAATTGACCACAGGAAATTACAGATGAAAACACACGCAGGTCGACGAGAGATGTTGGTGGCTTGCAGTATTAAAAAAAAGAAAAGTGTCACGTCATCTGATGTGCGTTTTAGAGACCGAAATATAACATGAATAATTTCTTGATTCAGTCCTTTTGGGAAAATGATTTTATTTACTTCAAAGAACTCTGTCACGTCGCATGTTTATTTCGCTTTATTATTTACTCTTCCTTTCCTCTTTTTACCTATCTCTCTATTTCTCTTTCTCTTTTCTCTCTCTCTCTCTCTCTCTCTCTCTCTCTCTCTCTCTCTCTCTCTCTCTCTCTCTCTCTTTCATTCCCTCTTCCTCTTTTCCCCTCTTCCTCCTTTCTTCCTCCCCTCCCTCCCTCTTTCTGAATTCCTAGAATTCCTTTATGCACGTAATCCTCTTTCTCTCTCTTTCATATTCACTTCATTATCTTATCAAAATCTTTTTCGTCTTTCACACAGTCTTATTAAAAAAATCCTCTAGCGTCTACAACCAAGCGCCGTGTTACCAGTAAAATAAAATATTGAAGCAAAGGCGTAATAGAAAAAAAAAAGAGTTTAAAAAAGTTAATTTATTTCGCTCGGTTCGCCTTGCGTGAGATACTTCTAAAAACACTCGACCTTTCCTTCAAGAACGTTAGGAAAGTTCGCAAGAGCTCCTTCAGAAACGTTTAGCTTAGCTTTTTTTTTCAAGAATGTTCGCATGTTCGCCCCCTTCAAAAACGTTTGTAAGTAAAATAGCTCCTTCAAGAAAACGTTCACAAGTGCCATACCTTTCTTAAGAACGTTCAGTAGTGCCATAGCTTTCTCAAGAACGTTCGCAAGTGTCACAACCCCTTCAAGAACGTTCGCAAGTGCCATAACCCTTTCCAGAACGTTCGCAAGCTCCTTCAAAAAAAAAAACGTTCACAAATACAACTTTCTGAAGAACGTTTGCACCTGCCGTATCTCCTTAAAAAAAAAATGCACCAGCTTTTTCAAGAACGTTCCTAATTACAGAAAAAAAATCTTACAAGAACGTTCGTAAGTGCAACGGCCCCTTCAAGAACGTTCGGCCAGCCCTTTGAGACGGCGACGGCTGAATGCGGCGATCACGCAAGGCACTCGTGATCCCCGACTTATCTTGCCCGAGGCGGATCTATCGACCTCTCGGAATCATGACTTGTTTGTCGTCTTCCTTTATCTAATTTTTTGAGATAAAGAAGAAGAGGAGAAATAGTAGGAAGAGAGGGAAGAGATAGAGAGAGATACATGAAAGAAAGAAAAGGAAAGGGAAGGGGAGGAAAGAGAGACGATAACTTTAGCGAATGGAAGGGAAAGAAAGGAGAGAGAGAGAGAGAAAGAAGGAGAGAAGGAGAGAAGGAGAGAAGGAGAGAGAGAGAGAGAGAGAGAGAGAGAGAGAGAGAGAGAGAGAGAGAGAGAGAGAGAGAGAGAGAGAGAGAGAGAGAGAGAGAGAGAGAGAGAGAGAGAGAGAGAGGGAGAGAGAGTGAGAGAGTGAGAGCGAGAGAGAGAGAGAGAGAGAGAGAGAGAGAGAGAGAGAGAGAGAGAGAGAGCGAGAGAGAGAGAGCGAGAGAGCGAGAGCGAGAGAGAGAGCGAGAGAGAGAGAGAGAACGAGAGAGAGAGAGAGAGAGAGAGAGAGAGAGATAGGAGGGAGGGAAGATACGAATGAAATTCCCCGTCCATAACCTGTTCCCGTTTATTTCCCTCTCTCTCCGGAATGGACACACCTTCTGCCACGCGGAAAACGGGAACAGCAAAAGAAAAAGAACATATACGACCAACACCAATAAATAAAGAACAAGGGAATGATAGGAAAAAAAAAAACAAATCCACGAGAAAAGAAAAGAACAATGACAAAAAACAAATCAGTTTCACAAGGAACCCAATAAACCGTACCTGGGCCACTTGTACCTGCTCCAGCGACGGACTGAGCAGGTACAGGGAACTGACCTTAAATATGATACCCTTTCAGGACCCCCACCCCCTTCACCCCCACTTTCCCCCACCCACTTCCCCCTCTGCATAATCTTCCCCTCTCCCACCTCTCCCCCTCTCCCTCACCCGCTTCCCTCCTCTCCCCCTCTCCCTCTTCTCCCCCACCATCTTTCCCCTTCTTCCCCAGCCCCCCTTCCCCGTTTTCCTCCTCTCCCCCAACCATCTTATCCCTCTCTCCCTAACCCCCCCCCCCCTTCTATTCCTCTCCCTCCTCTCTCCCACCATCTTTCGCCCCCTTTCCCTCTTCCCCTTCCTCTCCCCCACCCCCTCCTCTCCCCCACCCCCTTTCCACCTTACAAAAAAATGATCGACTTGAAACACCTGTCGGGTCGCTTGCTTGCCCCGGCGTCCTCCTGACCCATCCTCGGAGACGCTTTTTCTCCACCTCAAAACACATTCGTTTCTTTCATCTATTCTTATTTTTTTCGAATTTGAGAAACCGTTCGGAGGATGTAGTACTTCGTTTTGCGTTTTGTTCATGATTCGTTTTCGTTCA